AATGTAATGTATCAAATTATGTGTTATCACTGTCGTATATGTCATGATTGCCCTTATTTCACTCCGTTGTATGCTTGAAATATGTTTTGGCTTGGTATTTATGTCTCACTGTATGCTAAAATGATCAAAATTGAAGTTTTGCTTTTTATTTTGTCTGCATGAGTCGACCTATGTAGGGTAGTGGTCGACTCACAAAATTGATATTTTTTTGCCTGAGACACGGGTATGCTCAGGTCGACCCTCCGGTCGACGCATACCCATATTATTTTAAACGTGTTATTTTCAACACAGTATGTGCCAACGCATGACCCTTCCGATCGACGCATCGCGCGAATTTTGTGAAAATTGTCTGCTGAAACTGTTCATTTTTCAGTACTTTTAATATAATTTAAGTCATATTGTCCATTCAAAGTCATCATCATTAAGACATTTTTCATTGAGCATTGTGACCTACATCAAGGTTATCTTTCCTCTTCCCAAAACCTAGTATCTACAAAAAGGGATAAAATTATCATCATTCCTGCATCTTCAAGAATACTCTCTTCATAACAAATTCTTCCTCTCCAAACTTGCAAGTGAAAATGTCCACCTGAAGAATCACCGGCAAAAGAACAACTAGAGCTTCCTCCTCCCATGCAGGTCCATCACTACATCTGTAACCCTACTAGTAACTGGTGTGTCCCTTGTACCTTTTGTGTTTGCAGAAATCTATGAGAAAACTTTCAGCAAGAGATATGTAGTGAAGAAACATGCTTACTACCGAAAGTCTGCCGAACGTATGCACATCCCACAAGTGATTGATATTCTTGATGCTCAAGGGTTTAATAACTTTTTAAAATGCAAAACTAAGCACAATGAAGAACTTGTACGAATATTCTACACTGGCCTTCAAGGGAAATTTCAAGGTTTCGAGTTCAACACGCAAGTAGGGACTACCAAGGTATGTATGTGTGAACGACTCAGTATGGAAAACTCTGTTTGACATGTCACCAGTATCTGCTAAGCCCATCATTAAGGCCACAGATGCTCGTACTATCATTGGCTACGAGTTCAAATAGGCTTTGGACTCAATGTTGAAGAAACCTTATGCTGATGATATTGTGGCAAATGACCTTTTCCCTAAGATGGTCACAACGGGAAAGTTAAAACCAATGGACATAATCTTACAATGGATTATGGCGCATATTTTGCAGCCAGAGAAAGGCGGCTATTCTCGCGTCAATCAAGCTGAGGTACATTTGATCTATATTCTGAAGAAAAAGATCAAAATCAGTTGGCCTCACTACATCACAAGTCATATTTATTCACTAAGGGATTTCGTTAGAGGGACTGCTCTATCGTACGGGTCTTTTATCTAAGAAGTTCTCAACCACGCTAAAATCACCGTTCTAGGTATACCATTTAAATCACTGACCTCAGATCAAGATTTTTTCCAAAAGACTCTTACCATGATGGGATATATTTGGGACAAAACCGAAAGTCGGTACAGGTTCATTGTCAAGGCGACTACCTCTCGGCTAAAAGAATCACACGAGAGTGATGACCAAAACGAAGAAGCACAGGAAGAAGAACAAGAAGAACAGGTTGGCGGCCAACCTATGGAGGCCGATGACCAAGATGATGGTAGGTGAATTGACCAACCTCCTCACTCGGATCATGACAATGACCAAGGGTGGGGCGCCTGGTAACATACATGACGGGCATTTTTAGGTGACAACTATATGCCTCAACAACATTTGGAGTATCAAGAAACTCCAAACTAGAGCTATGAACCTCCACCATTCCCGCATCCGCAATAACACTCTGATGAACTCCTCGACATGATGAGGACTATGCAACTTGAGCAACGCACTTTCATGACTGCTCAGGATGAACGATTCTCTCAACTCCAACGTCAATTTAAACTCACAGAAATTTTCAATGCATTTCCATCCGGTATCATGAGAAGGTTCGATGGGTTTGTTGAAACATCATCCAGTCAACATAGGGCTTTTGCCACTAACTTTAACACCCTAAACAGAGCAGTCTTGGAGTTCACTGAACGAGTCGATGCCCAATTACCTCCGAAGTATCCCTCTCGAGGGCGTAGCCACCATTTCAGGGGGAGGAGACCTTGAAGATGTCTTACATACTGCATCTTGCATCTGATTATCATGTTATAAATGTTGTTATTTATTGTTGCATGACTTATGTACTTGTGTGTGTTTAATGACATTTTCTTTCTTGACTAAGATAACAAAATTTATTGTTGTTCTATTTGTGCGTGGCTCTATTTATCATTCTATTTATATGTTCATTAACTACATTGTATGTGGATGTCTGTTAATGTATAGCCTGTTACGAGTGTTTTGGAACGTGCATTCTCTTTTACTTTTATACAAATTATTGACAGGTGTTTCTTTCTTTTTGATGTTGTCAAAGGGAGAGAAATTATTAAGCACCACAGTAGAACCAGAAACATCACAGGTGAAGACTCATTATTAACACAGAAGAGTGTGTATGGATGAAGGCATCAAGCAAGGGGGAGGATAATGTGACATATCATACATCCAGGTTCTATTTGTTTTGCCATCATCGAAAAGGGGAGTATGTGAGGGCAAAGCCTCATATATAGATGTGCTCATTTCGATGATGTCAAAACTCAGCTGCATACAGAAATATATGTTGGACGTTGTCACCGTGCCATATTTGCATGTCTTGTCTCTCATTATTCAAATACTCGTAAAAATCATGATTGTTGCATATAGAGATGGCCAAATATGTGTCATATAGGGTTGACTTAGTTGGTGTTGTTTGACATACTATAGGTTTCATCAAATATGTCGTAATGCATGAAAATGGGCATTTTTGCCTGTTTCAGGGTTTTGAGTCGACCCAAAACCTGCTCTGGTCGACTCACACAACAAGTCATTTTATTGAATTAGTCTCAGGAGGGCTTGCGTCGACCCTCCGGTCGACTCATACTATAAACATTTCCATTTAGCTAAAACTGCATGTTGTACGTCGATGCATGCTATGCTCGGATCGACGCATAGTCCTGATTTATGCACAATCTTGAGTTCGGGTAAGTTCAGGTCGACCCCCTCTACTGCATAGGTCGACCGCTCGCTGTTTTGTGTCAAAATTGTGTTATGTCAACTGCTTTTGTGAGTTTGTTTTGGTTGTTATGTCAGTTATGTTTGGTATATAAGTTGAGTTGCTCTTTCATTTCACAATAGCTAAGAAAACAAGAAAAGTAAAATTACGTGTCGATTTGGTTCTCATCATCTTCATTCTCGTCATAACATTTCACAACAATTACACATAATCATTTTTGTTGTGCATTGTGCATGTTTGAGGTGATAACGTCCAAAGCCGAAGATTGGTTTTATCTAGTTTGGGTTGAGTAATCGGCAGGTGTTTCTTGAATAAAACTGTTATGGTTTTGTCCTCAAAGAATCTCAGATTTTGGGGGGTTTTTGCACGATTCGTTCCATCACATATTCAACCGAGTGAAGGTAATCGAAGAGCTGGAGGTTCTGTCAGTTTAGTAGCGGTAAACGAAGGATTGTGAGTGGGAGATTCGGGTTCGGCACGTGGGTGACTGAAATCATCCAAGCCAGATTTTGAAGGCCAAGGGTTGTTTAAAGAGAGTGTCGTAATCAGAGGTTTATTCACCATGTTCGAAGTACTTGATTCAACTTGAATCTAAGGGAAAGAAGAAATAGATTCTACAACAACAAATTGTGTTCGATTGTTTGATCCCTATTTGCTTCTTGTATAAATATTTACCAACAGGTTATATCTATCTATATACAGGTCTCAATTTTATTGTTAGAAATGAGGGCAGACGTGCCCCGAGCGAGGACGATGGGGGAACTGCCTCAACAAATCATTGTGTCTTTTTCTTTACGCTTATATTGCTATATTTCTGAGCTTTTAATGTAAACGATTATATCAATCAAATTCTGATTTGAGTTATGATGAACTATTTGTTAATCCAATTACAATCATTAATTGTAAGAGAAAATTTGAGCACTCAACTCTCAAAACAAAATTCACTTGTACTGCTCCGCACTCCAAGTGTTTGATCAATTGTATGAACTAAAATATCTTGTACTGTCTTTTCAAATTGTCAATATTTTAAAGGCATTGGAACTAGTCACACCTTATAGTAAACATAATCAAATTGAAAGTGTGATTGAATTAGTGATTCTCATTTCTCGTTTATCACATTACATAGGCTTTACACATATCCAGTCTTGTAACAAATTTTAAAAACTAATTTTTGGTAGCGCCGACTCTGTTTTAAACAAGCGGTCTATTCAGCCCCCTTCTAGATCTGCGCCATCGTCTAACAAAATCCATTCTGGTGTAGGTTCCAAGGATGGGGTGTCAGAGTATAACAATAAATTGAAGAAACAAATCCAATGTAACAATGGTGTTGTGGGGGAAGAGGCGACGATTGTAGATGCGTCGTAGAATATTGGTATTGTAATGTCATCTCATGTGGAGGGAAAGGAAAAATCAATTAATGTTGGGGGAAAGGTGGTATCATGTCCCACATTCTTGGAAGTTAGGGTTTTAGGTTTGAGGGTCATGAAAGGTATTGTTGGTATGGAAAATAAATTTTTTGAAGTACGAGGTTACGTGGAGCCACTCGTGGGAGGCAGTCATAGGCCTTGGATTTGAATTGGTGAACAATCCACATCAGATCTAATTTCTCCTACTAGGCCGGGAGTTGGAGGCCTAGTGGCTTTGTCCAAACCCAGTAAGAAGAAACTTATTAATGATATTTATGATAAAATAAAGATTCCTTTCTCACACTTCTATTTCTCTACCCTTTTGCATGTTGAGTTTCCTAGGGTATCCCCAAATTCTTCTTACACTGTGGTCCCTCGTATCCTTATTATGTCGATGGATATTATGGTTTCAGATTTGATTTTGCATTTCTTGGGAGGTTTTATCCTTTGTTATGAGTCTATTGGGATTCAAATGTCAATCAGAGTAATTCTAGAATTATGAGGAAGCTGGAAGATGTACCTGCTAAAGTCTGGGAATCGATTAAACGGTTGGGTGTTGAAGGGAATGAGGATGATGAAGTGTTTCAAGGAATTATTAGAAAAATAGAGACTTCAGATAGAGTGGTTGCGATTGTAAAGAAGTGGGTTGATAATATGGGACCATGAATTTTGTCACGTTTAATATCAGGGGGTGTGGGAGTTTGGCGAAAAGAAAAAAATAAGGCAAACTTTTAGAAAAGGTATAGCAGATGTTTGCTTTTTGCAAGAAACCAAATGTAAGAGTATGAAGGATGTTATGGTGAAAAGCTTCTGGGGTGATGAAGATTGTTTATGGTCCGTAAGTGATTCGTCGGGGCAATCAGGTGGAATTCTTACAATCTGGAGAGCGGTTTTCCTTACTCCCTTATTTAGTTTTAGGGGTAGTGGCTTTTTGGGTTTGTCTGTTATTTGGAGAGGTAAAAAGTGCTTATTCCTAAATGTATATTCTTCGTGTGTATTGTCGGAAAAATGTAAGATGTGGGCTGAAATTCTGGACCTTAAATCAAAGTTTTTTTTTGGGGAGTGGGTGGTTGGTGGTGATTTCAACTCTACAAAATGCAAAGAAGAAAAAAGAGGCAAAGGTGGTCATAGTAGACTTGAAATAGAGGAATTTAAGTCCTTTATTGAGCTATTGGGGTGTGATGATCTCCCCATTAAAGGTAATAGTTTTACATGGTTCAACGGAAGTGGGAGTTGTTGCAGCAGGCTTGATAGGCTTCTTATTTCTCCTGGATTGATTAGCGAGTGAAGTTCGGTGGTTCAAAGGGTTTGGGACAAAGATATATCCGACCACAGACCTGTCTGGATTTCTGCAAGAAATATTAACTAGGGCCCAAAGTTGTTTAAGGTGTTGAATTGTTGGTATGAACATTATGAGTTTCTTCCTTTTGTAAAGTTGGTTTGGGAATGATTTGCTATCACAGGGAAACCTTCGTATGTGCTATCCAAGAAAATGCAACATCTTAGGGAGTATATTCGTTGGTGGAACAGTCAAGTATTTGGTAGGTTTGAGACAAGAATTTTTCAGGAAATTGATATAATAAATGAGTTTGAAGAGATGTTGGCGTTCGATAATCGAAATCAAAATTCTCACGACCTGTTGAGAAGATCTTATGCACAAATGGAGATGTGGAAATATATGAGAAATCAAGAAAGTATCAATCAACAAAAGGCTAGGTCCAGGTGGATCTCTGATGGAGATAGAAATTCAAAATATTTCCATTCAACTATGAAGTAGCATAATAGAAGGAATGGGATTTATCCGGAGTTGTTGGATTTGGGGTCGAGGGAGGATGTTTCCCTAATAAAGTAGAAAGCAAATGAGCACTTCCATGGAAATTTTCTTGCTACTCAGAAGGTTAGGCCAAGGCTTGGTAGGGGTGGTTTCAAAAGACTTACTATGGAGGATATAGAAGATTTAGAAAGGACCTTTGAAACGATGGAGATAAAGGAAATCATATTTGCAGCTGACGAGGATAAAAGCTCTGGTCTGGAAGACTTCAATGTGAAATTCATCAAGAGGTGGTGGGAGATGGTGGGGTCAGATTTCATAGAGTGCATTTAAGAAATATTTACTGATGGTTGTCTTCCTAAGGTGATGTCCTCATCTTTTCTTACTCTCATTCCCAAACTAGACAATCCTAAGAACTTAGATGACTTTAGACCTATTTCTCTTATTGGTAGTGTATATAAAGTGGTGTCCAAACTGTTAGCTAGTATACTTATAAAAGTTATTGGAAAGCTGATTTTGAAGTCCCAAACCGTTTTTATCCATGGTAGACAATTACTAGATGACGTGTGGGTGTTGAATGATTTGGTCGATTATGCCAAGAGAATGAAGAAAAGTTGTGTTTTGTTAAAGGTTGACTTTGCTAAGGATTATGATTGTGTAGATTGGTCATATTTTAGGAGGACTATGCTGGATATGGTCTTTGGTGAGAAATTGATGGTTTGGATGGAGGGGGGGGGGGGGGGAGGGGGGGTCATGAATAGCTATTTGTATGTTTTAATAAATGTAAGTCCTACAAAGGTCTTTAAGGTGTTGAGGGGTCTTAGACAAGGAGATCTCCTCTCTCATTTTCTATTCTCCATTGTGTTGTACCCCAAAATTTGACCAACCGTTTCTCGCAAGTTGACTTATGTTTCGTTTCATTTGCATTTGCATATGCGTATCGCATACTGTGCATTTTTTCAGCCGGGTTGATTTTATCGGGATTACAACCCTTTTCTCGCGTCTCAGGAGATTCAAACCAGTTCGAATAAGCAGGTTTATTTTGGAAGCGATGCTTTTCCCGGTGATTCAGTCGTTGCTGGTATTTTTGAGGGTATTTCATTGTCTTCCGTTTTACCGTTTATTTTGTTACATTCTCGCATTTTTTGTTAACTGATTTAATTGCTTTGCATTGGAATTATTACTAATTTTCTAGATTTTATTTTGTTAACTTTTAGCATAGAATTTAGATTTTTGATAGTTTTATTCTTTATTTCCTATTTTAGAATATTAATATGTTTTAATAGATTTTTAGGTTATTTTCTCTATTTTAGATTTTAGTTTTAATAGATTTTAAATAGAGTTTCTAGAAATTAATTATTTTAAGAATAGTTATAGATATTAACTCTTTTTAGACTTTTATTAGTTTTAATCTTTTAATAGTTTTAATATAGGATTTAATTAGAATATTATTAGTTTTAGTTAATTTCTTAGATTTTAATTAGATTGGTTAATCTAGTTTAATTTTGGTTAGGAGTTTATCTAAATTTAATTAGAATATTAATTGAATAGGTTTAATTATTATTAATTAGGTATATTAGTTAGATGTCAGTTCAGCTTTATTAATATCTTTGTTAACCTTTAATTAGTACTTTTGAGTCAGCTTTACTCATTTTATTAGCTTTTTCCACTAATTAATCAGCTTTGTCTTTAATGCAGTCAATTAATCCAGATTTTCGCAGGCCTGTTCTCTATCTCATAATCAGATGATGACACCTATCAATATGATGGCCATGTTACCCAATAATGGTGACACGTTTCCCACATGAGCTGCCACCTCACCGTACCCCATGCAAACCCTAAACAGTTCCGTCGGAGAAATCATATGCCACCGTAACTGTCGCTGGAAACTTCATCATGTCGCCGGAATCTTCATACAACCTTCATCGTGTTTATCATTTTTCCAGTTTTTTCACGATCTTCATCGTGTTCATCACGACCTTCACCATTTCTTCATATGATCATCATGAACATTCAACCGTTTTTCCAGTTTCATTCAAGATCCATTCAAGATCAACAACCATTTTCTTCAACCAAGTTCGACCTTCAACACGTTTTTCCCAGATTTCCTTAGATCTTCATCGTGTTCACCCGAGTTCAAGATCTTTAACTCGTTTTTTCAAGAACATTCATAAGCCTTCATCCAGTTTCCAGATCAACCCTCAAATCTTCAAAGAATCTTCAAGAAACTCCAGATTCACATCCCAACCGTCTTCATCCATATTCATCAACCTTCAAACATTTTCCAGATTTCTTCATCGCGATCTTCATCGCGTTCATCACCTTCATGTTCATTTTTTCAGATTCTTCAAGTAACTTCACCATCAACGAACTTCAGATCTTTCACTATCAAACATTCACGAATAAGCTTCGAACACAACTTCAGCTTCTACCATTAAAACTACAACTCATCAACATGCAACTTCAGAGCGTCATCTCCAACTATAACCTCATTCCACCTCCAACGCGCAAATCGTAGCAAAGAGTGGAGAGAGAGATTTCAAACCAAAAGTTGAGGCAGAGAGAGATTGGAAGGAACGAGCAAGGAGGATTAATGATGAGCTACGAGCGAACGAAGAAGAAGTGTTTCCGAAAAGTTGTTGATCTGTTTTGGCCTTGTTTTCGTTGAACGGAGAAAGGTCGAGACGGTGAGGGGAGAAGTTTCGGTCGACGGCGGCGGAGGTTGAAGAAAGCTAGGGTTTTTGCCAAAGCTGAGGGAGGAAGATGAGGTCGTGGATCCTTTTGAAGTGGGTTAGTGGGTCGTGAGGCCCAATTGTTTCGTTTCAGCCTACTGTACTCCCCGTTTCCTCAATACACCCTTTGTTTTTTTTGGTGCTGTTTGTTCATTTTTTGCTGGAGATTTGTGGGCCAAGCCCACCGTGTGGAATGTTTCAATGTTACACCCCCTGTGCATTATTTTTTTTTTTTGTAATATATATATATATATATATATATATATATATATATATATATATATATATATATATATATATATATATATATATATATATATATATATATATATATATATATATATATATATATATATATATATATATATATATATATATATATATATATATATATATATATATATATATATATATATATATTGTATAGAATTTTGGATATTGTTTTTTATCCTATTTTGCATATACTTTACTATTTTTTTAGAGAATAGTTTTTACATAGAATTTTATTTTCTATGTTTCATATATTTTGGTATAGAATTTTCATATTCTATATTCATTTTCAATCTCTTTTTAATATTTCTTTTAGAATATTATTGCATATATTTTTTTGAATAGAATTTTATATTCTATCTTTCTATGTTCGATTTCTTTTAAATTTCTTTAGAATTTTCTATTAGGAGCTTATTTTCAATTTCTATAAGTTGGATGCAATTCCCATTTGTTATTGGATTTTTCACATCACTGTTGTTTTGTAGGTCGACGACGACACTTCCGTAAACCGTTATTAATCGACTTGTTGATGGATAATGTAGGATCCAAGACCACTTTTTCTCTCCTCATTTTTCTTCTCATTCTGATTTTATTTTGACTGCTGCTGTTCTGGTCCATGTGACATGATTTAATTGGTGAATGATTCGTAATATCATTTCTCTATCTTGTCTTTGACACGGATATCAATACTCTACCTCTTAATGTTTGGCTTCATTTATAAGTTGAATTACGACGGTTCAGCGTCACATTGGTTCTGATTCGAACGTCATCATCAAGTATCAAAGGAGAAAAGCTTAGAAATGGAGCTTGCACGCAAAACGTCAAGGGTCAACGGAACCACTCCGTTCGGTAACATTGTTTTTATTTCGCCTCTTTCATCTCTTTTATTCAACCGTCGAGCGTTGTGAGCCGTAAGCGTTAGATACGTGGGAAATGATGAGTGGGTGGCTTCCTCTTACTCGTCTAGAATGTTTAGTGTATGTCCTTATAACGATATGCGACGCATTCGCTCCTACGTCTTAGGACTTAGCGTGTGCGTCCCATTCTGGACCTTTTCCCTCGTATCCTGGCGATTGAGACCTTCCCTTTTCTCTCGCATCTTGGTGATTGAGATCCCTTCTCTTGCTCCCGTGCAATCGAGACCGTTTTTCCGTAGTTAGCCGAACTACGGCTGCTCTGATCTCTCATAGCTGTTGAGAGTACGTAGCTATAGGATTACGATAATCCTAGCGAGCATTTTTCCCCCTTTCCTGTAGTTAGCTGAACTACGGCTGCTCTGATCTCTCATACCTGTTGAGAGTACGTAGGCATAGGATTGCGATAATCCTAGCGAGCATTTTTCCCCTTTTCCCGTAGTTGGCTGAACTACAGCTGCTCTGATTTCTCATACCAGATGAGAATATGTAGGCACAAGACGCGATGTATTGGCGAGCACACTAACAACTAATTTCTCCGTTCTCTCGCTTCCTGACGATCGAGAATTTCCCGCTGACGACTAACATCCCTTTCTCTTGCCCTAGCGCAATCGAGACCAGCCCGTAGTTCTAGAATCCTTTAGGTTCCCCTTACCTTTAAACCAATGACATACTATGACCATTCTACCGCAAACAGGTAACGCCTAAGTCTCTAATGGTCGAGCAGCATACACCTAACTGCTAGAATGCGTGCGCTAGTATCGTCAACCTTTTCTCTCGCCCCGTGTGATCGAGAACACCCTTTCGTCCCGTAGTGAGCCTGGACTACATTTTGCTCTGATTTCTCATGCCATATGAGAATACGTAGGCACGAGACGTGACGTCTTGGCGAGAAAACTCCCCCCGTAGTCTCCCGAACTACGTTAACTCTGACTTTCCCATTGCATGAGGGAATACGTAGGCATAGGGCGGCGATGCTTTATCGAGTCAGTTCCTTCCGTTTAGCTTTAGAAGCCGTAGATTAGATTTTTTTCCACCCATAGACTAGGCAACCAAGTGGGGGTCCCGTCGAGTACGACGGACGTGAGGGGTGCTAATACCTTCCACTTGCGTAACCGACTCCCGAACCCGAGATTTGGTTGCGATGAACGATCTTATCCCTTTTCGCTAGGTTTTCCCTTATCGTTTCCTTTCTCTCGTTTGTGATAAATAACGATAGGTGGCGACTATTCTGTCATTGTCGGCACCTTTTTTTGCAGTAGCGACACATTGGTGTATAGGGGCTGGCTGTACTAGTTCATAGAGCAGTGGAGGTTGGTATTTTGAAGGGTTTCAAGGTTGGTAGTGATGTAGATTATAGCCTTTTACAATATGCCGATGATACTATACTTATTGCGGATGGGGTTTGGTATAATGTATAGGTATTTAAATCCTTATTGAAAGGTTTTGGTTTGATATCAGGATTGAAGGTTAATTTTGGTAAAAGTTGCATTTTTGGGATTGAGGTGGAGGATCATTTCTTGAATGCGGCAGAAATATTCTTGACGTGTAAGAAAGATGTAGTCTCGTTTAAATTTCTTGGTTTATGTGTGGGTTGAAACCATAGGAAAATTTCATTCTAGAAACCCATTATTGATTGTTTGAAATCAAGACTCTCATCTTGGAAAGGTAGATGCCTGTCTATGGGTGGGAGGGCAACTTTGATTAGTTCTGTGATGACTAATTTTCCCTTACATTACTTTGCGTTCTTTAAGGTGCCTAAGAGTGTTGTGCAGAAAATTGTGGCCATCCAAAGGAACTTCCTATGGTCTAGGTCTAAAGAAAAGAAGGGTATCACTTGGGTTAGTTGGAGCAACGTCTATAAATCTAAGGAGGATGGAGGTTTGGGGATTAGGGATGTCGGTCGTTTTAATACTGCACTTATGGCCAAATGGATTTGGAGATTGTTGCCGGAGAAGGATGCTATTTGGGTAGGTATCCTTGATGGTAGGTATGGTCGCTTTGCCATGGATCTGCTGCGTGGAAAGTTGCCTAAATATAAGGGTTTCCCTTCTCTTTGGTGGAGAGACATTTTCAAGGCTAATGGTCTATTTGGTCCTGGTAAGTTTGGGGAACTGATTTCATATAAGCTAGGCAATGGTGATGGAGTCCTGTTCTGGCTGACAAGATTGCTGGGAAACTAGCCTATTGAATCTTTATTCCCTTGTTTGTGGAGCAGATCAAATAGGAAGTGGGGCTGGTGGCTGAGATGGGTGTTTGGCTTGACGGGTCATGGTCGTGGCAACTTGATTTAAATTTAGAGGATGCTAATGTTTCTCTAATCCAGGAGTATCATGAGTTATCTGAGCTATTGTTGGAATTTTGCCCTGTTACTAGGCAGAATGATTCTATAATTTGGCCGTTTTGCAAATCTAAAACTTTCTCTGTACTAAGCTGTTATGACAGGTTATCTTGTTTGCTGGATGGTGGTGTCTTGGATGACGAGTGCAGGCTTGCGTTAAGAACCTCATGGAAAGCAATTTCACCTGTGAAAACAAAAGTCTTTGTTTGGAGGCTTTGTTTGAATAGACTGTCTTCTAGAGACAACCTCTTAAGGAGAGGCTTGATGCTTAACTCACACGAACTGGTGTGCCCATTATGCCTCTTAGTTGATGAAGATATCATTCACCTGTGCTTCTGATATGATAAAAGTAAGATTGTTTGGGAACAAGTTTGTAGGTGGCTGTAGGTTTCGCAAGTGCAGGAGGTTGGGGTCGTTGACCACTTATTGGATTGGATCAATAGATTCAGAGGCAGAGTGTCTTGCTTGGACAAGGTGGCTGGCATTTGGGTTATTGTTTGTTGGTCTATCTAGTATGTAAGAAACTAGATTATGTTTAACAATGCTATTTGGGATCCTGTTGAGATTGTGCAAAAAATTGTTCATCGCTCACGGTGGTGGATTGCAAAGAAGGATAATCATTTATTTTATTGTAATTATTATGAGTGGTGTGTTTATCCTTGCTTGTATATTTATATTAGTCGTGGGAGAAATTCGGTTGATTGTGTTTTTTAATTGTTGTATTGGATTAGGATACCCTAATGCTTTAATTGATATTGATGTGTTGTTTGTTAAAAAAAATATACATGTTGAATAGAAACTCATGAAACAACTCCCTCAAAATTTATTGCTTTCTTATTCAAAATTCATCACTAAAGTGAGCAAACATTATCATATGTCAAGAGGAATCACTTTGAAAAGATTGAATGGCCATTTTGAATAACATTGATATTAATCAAACAACTATATTAGAATTATAACACCATGAGTCCATATATTTGTACGACATTAGTACTTCATGACATTAATATTGATGCATGTCACAAATACTACTACGACTTGGCTCCACAAGCTTCAATTTTTATCTCATTCCGATGTTAGCCATGAAATGCAAATTCAAGGTGTAGTATATCACATACATACTTACTCGAAAGAAACCGCCAGACATTTTCTGACAACAAAAGATTTCGAATGGAGAGAATAGTTTGTAGAGCCTTATTAACATTATTATGGTAGTTGATATATAAAAAATAAATCCTGCAAAAGAAAATAAAAACCAACAATAGTGTGTATTCATACCAATTGAGCATTAAAGGTGAACTCATATCTCATAAAATACACAGAATACAATAAAGTTATATATTTCTATCAACTCAATAGTTGTTGTGTTAGCTGGTAGAAAACTACACATGTGGGAAAGGAAAACAATTAATCCAATAATATGCTTAAATAAAATATTGGTATTTAAAAAATTATGTGAAGAGAAAATCACCACGTGGCACAACTAGAATCATATTATCCGCTTCAAAAACAACAATCTTTCTAACTCTACTCTTCAACTTCTTCCAATTGAAGTATCAGCAAATAAAATCACATATAGATAGATAAATGTTGAACATTGGATGTATATTTAAGATTGAATTTGTTGAAATTGTTACAAATTTTTAAAATATTCTTAAATATAATATTTATGAAAATGGTAGATGATTTTAGAAGTATAATGTTTATGAATATGGTAGAACAATCTATAATTATAAGTATATGAAAATGATAGAAGACCTAAAACTATTATGATACTCGTCTATTATGAAAACTCTAGAAAGAACTAATGTAATGTAGAAATATTCACTATTATTAAGAGGTTGGTAATTTGAGCCTATAAATAGGTAATTGGTATCTTGTAATTAATCATCTAAGAAATCAATGACACAACTTTCTTTCTAAATAATTCTCTAAACCTATATTTTAACAATTATCGACTAATTAACTACCAACAATAACATCAGAGTTACGTTCTGTCATATATTGGGCGTAGTTATATTACCTACCTAACATTCTAAAATCCTCCAAACTACTACAAAAAATTTCTTTGTACTATTAACCCACTTAAAAAAAAATCTAAACTATGGATAACACCACTCAATCATCATCTATATTTGTCCCTATTTTCAATGGTGAAAATTATGATTTATGGCGTGTTAAAATGAAAACATTTTTTTCATCTCAAGATTTATGGTACATAGTAGAAGAAGACTTCACCATTTTCGCAGATACTTCAGCTCTTAATTCAACTAAAAAAAAGAATTGAAGAAAAATAAACAGAAAAGTTTAAAAGACATTGTTCACCTTGCAACAAGTGGTGTCTGATGCAATTTTTTCAAGAACTATGGGAGCTAAGACTTCCAAAGAAGCGTGGAACACGTTGTAGGAGGAGTTTCAAGGAAGCGATGAGGTACGTGTCATTAAACTTCAATCTCTAAGAAGAGATTTTGAACTATTGAAGATGAAGGAGTCTGAGACAGTTAAAGATTATTATTCTAAAGTTAAAGAAATAGTTAATCAAATGAGAGCTTTTGGGGAGAAAATTCTTAACAAGAAAATCGTTGAAAAAATTCTAACTACTATGCCCCAAAGTTTGACCCAATCGTGACAACGATTGAAGAAACCAAAGATCTGTCCACTCTATCAGTGACAAAACTTGTGAGCTCTCTTGAAGCATATGAGCAAAAACTGTATAGGCATAAAGAAGATACGCTAGAAAATTCCTTCCAATTAAAGCTAAAATTTCAGCCCTAAATAAAGAAAATGGAGGAAAGAAAAATTATGGAGAAACTTTCAGAAGAAGAGAAGTTTCGTGAAATTTCCTTAAGAACAAGCTAGATAAAAATCCTCCATGTAATATATGCAAAAGACTAGACCACGCAGAGAAAAAATGTTGGTACCGTTATATGCCACAATGCAACCATTAGAAGAAGTTCAGTCATATAGAGAAAAATTGTCACAACAAAAATAGGCATCAAGCTAATATCGCAGATGAGCATGATCAAGAACAATGTATGTTCTATGCCACTCAAGACTCAATCAAAGAAAAAGGTGGAAGTTGGTACTTGGATAATGGATATAGCAATCACATGGCCAATGATGAGATTATTTTCAAAAGCATTGACGAATTTGTCAAAGTTAAAGTTTGACTGGGAAATGGAAGTGTGGTTGAATCAAAAGGCAAAGGCACTGTCATGGTGGAGACAAATAAATGTGCGACTCATCCATGATGTTTTACTAGTTTCCATCCTAAAAGAAAATCTTCAAAGCATTGGACAAATGATGGAAAGAGGCTACACATTTCACTTTGAATGAGGTGTATGCAAAATCTTAGACAACAAAAATAAAAGGTCTGAGATAGCCCAAGTGACGATGAATAAGAGCAATAAAAGCTTCCCACTAAATTTAAAAATATGCAACTAACATTGTCATGAAGGTACAAGTTGATGATTCATGGCTCTAGCGTCAAAGATTTAGCCACTTCAACACACTTGTCTTGAAGTTGTTACATGAGAAGAACATGATGAGAGATCTTCCAAGCATAAAGAAGAATACTTAAGTGTGTGAAGGATGTTTCCTTGGTAAGAAAAAACGATTTCTATTCTCAACAAGCGCAACATGGAGAGTGAAAGATCTGTTGGAGCTGATACATACTGACGTTTGTGGACCAATGAGGATGCCATCACACGGGAACAATAGGTACTTCATACTATTCATTGATGAATTCTCTAGAATGACATGGGTTTATTTCCTAAAATAAAAATCATAAGTTTTTGGAGTATTCAAAAATTTCAATGCCCTTGCTAAAAATTAAAATGGAAAACGGATAAAAGTACTAAGAAGTGATCGAGGCAAATAGTACACCTCCCACGAGTTTGACAGATTTTGTGAGGATGAAGGAATTAAGTGACAACTTACGGTCGTATATTCTCCTCAACAAAATAGTGTGTCAGAGAGAAAGAATCGCACAATTATGGAAATGGCTAGATCGATGCTCAAGGAGAAGAGACTTCCTAACACATTCTAGGCTGAAGCAGTATACACTGCTATTTACATACTCAACAGATGTCCAACTAAGGCAGTACAAGATAAGACTCCAGTTGAAGCTTAGAACGGAAAGAAGCCATCAACAAAGCACCTAAGGCTCTTTGGATCTATATGCTACATTCATATTCCAGACGTGAAGAGGCACAAGCTTGAAGACAAGACTATACGAGGTATCTTCCTGGGGTATGGAGCAATCTCTAAAGGCTACAATGTCTACAACTTGAAAACAAAAAAAATTATCATCAGTCGAGATGTTGAAGTTGATGAGAGTGCTTCTTGGAATTGGGATGAAAAAAAAGTGGAGAAGAACATCCTTATACCAGCTCAACTACCTCAAGAAGAAGATGAGGAAGAAGACCCAGGTGAATTTGCTTCACCTCCACCATAACAACATATCAAGAATTATCATCCCTGGAGTCTACTCCAAGACGAGTAAGAACTTTGGTGGACATATATGAAACTTGTAACTTGGCCATACTTGAACCTGGAAGCTTTGAAGAAGCGCCAAAGCAGGAAGTATGGGTCAAGGAAATGGAAGAAGAGATAAAGATGATCGGAAAAAAACACATGGCAGTTAGTAATTCGTCCCCTTGGAAAAGATATCATTGGGGTTAAATGGGTATATAAGACAAAGCTCAACCCTGATGGCACCATACAGAAACACAAGGCGAGAGTAGTAGCTAATGGTTACTCACAACAACCTGGGATTGACTACAATGAGACATTTGCACCAGTAGCTCATCTTGATACCACTAGAGCTCTAATAAGTCTCGCGGCACAAAAAGGATGGAGTATCCATCAACTAGATGTCAAATCTGCCTTCCTTAACAGCATACTTGAAGAAGATATCTATGTGGAGCAGCCACAAGGATTCATGTCCGAAGGAGAAGAAAGCAAAGTGTTAAGACTAAGAAAAGCACTCTACGGTTTGAAGCAAGCACCTTGAGCATGGTATAGCAAAATCGATCAGTATTTTATGGGTCAAGGATTCAGGAAGAGCAAGAGTGAGCCAACATTTTACATTAAGTCTTAAAGTCATTACACTTTCTTACTCTCTTTATATGTAGATGATCTTATCTATACGGGAAATAATACTAAGATGATGATGGAGTTTAAAGAAGACATGATGAATACCTTTAAGATGACCGACCTTGGTTTGATGAGTTACTTCCTCGGTATAGAGGTAAGTTAGAGAAATGAAGAGATATTCATCTCGTAAAAGAAATACATAAAAGGCTTACTTAAGAAATTCAAGATGTATGGTTGCAAAC